GCTTATACCTTGCTCTCACTTGGATCACTAGCTTAGGGAGGCTAGCCATGGTTACCAGGACACAGAAGCAGCCCAACAGAGGTGTCAATGTGGCAAGGGAGGGCTGAGGTCTCCACTAGCAAACTGCAGGTGATCTGAGTGACAGATCTTGGAATCAGGTCCTTCAGCCCTGGTAAAGTTCTCAGATGGTTAGATGGTTGCTGCACTTTTCTCTTTGCTAAGATTCCTTCCCCTCAGGTTTTTTTTTTTTTTTAAAGATTTATTTATTTATACATACAGGAACTGGGGTATAGGCCAGAGGTGCAGGGGGTGAGAAGATTCACCAGAGGCAGAGTGGGAAGCAGAACAGGCAGATTGACTGATATACACTGCTGATGGGAGCAGCAGGCAAGACAGGAGAGGTCTGCTGCACCATGTGGGTCACATCCCTGGCCAGGGATTGAATTCATGCTGCAGTGGCTGCAGATAGTTTCATAGTGCTGCACTTTAACCCCCTGCACAACCAGGGAGGGCCCCCCTCAGATTTTCAAGTGAGATATCTTCCTTGATAAACAGTCTTCCCTATATGAATGTTGCTGAATATTCTATATTTAGTAGGATGAATTTATAAGTCCCCCCAGTATAAGCTGGAGGGAAAACCCATCTCCTTTTCAGGACATAAGGTGTAATTAGGCCAGTCCCATCTGAATAACGATCACAGAGGTGAACTGGCATCAGTGGCCTCTACTCCACCTTCCAGGAACCTGACTATGCAGGCACTAATGCTTACTTAGGCCCTAATGAACTAGAAGTTCCAGAAATGTTAATTTTAGTTCCTAGTATCTCAGCTACCAGGTCTAAGGAGGATTTTGTGTCTGAGTGAAAAAACTGTGTTCTTGAAATATTACATTAGGTTTTGGCGCAGCAGGTTAAAGCACAGCACTAAGAAGCTGAAGCCACTTCCACAGGAGTTCAATCTCTGCCTGCCCTGGAGGTGACCACATGGCGCGGCAGACCTCTCCTGACCTGTCCGCTACCCCAGCGGTGTACTTTGTCAGTCTGCCTGTTCTGCTCCCCACTCTGTCTCTGGGGAATCCTCTCACTGTCCCTGTGCCTCTGGCCTGTACCCTAGTTTTGTATGCACAAATAAATCTTAAAAAAAAAAAGTAAACCAAGCTAAGCCATAGATTTGCATAACCACAAGATTATAAGATTTATCCCTAGGCAAAAAATTGACAACTTCCCCCACTTCCAATTAGACAAAATATATATTCCTTGACTTCTGAAATGTAGGCAAAAGAGTTTAACACCTAGGTCTGTGTCACAGCTCCCATCCTGACAAGTGTCTTCAAGTTACTTGAATTAATGGTAACCCAAAATACAGGAACTTTTCTGCACCTGGAATTGAGCAGAGCAGATATTTAAATATGTGACAAGTGACATTCAAACTCAAGGGAATTAAAGGAAGAAAAATTGTAGACCCCTGATAGATCAAGTTCAGTCACCCATACTTGTGTGAGAGCCAGTCTTTCACTCATGGGAGTTCTATGGCCTGCTGTTTTCCTGTAACGATTCAGGTTGAAATACTGTTCCTTGCAACATGCGTGGCGACTAGCAACAACTGGGGGTCCACTTTGAAGAGAGAATACAAAAACAGACATTTGTTGGCAGTGCCTTAGTCTCCTTACATCCCCATCTTATGCCACATTTCCACAGAACTCTGCTCTCAGAGGTGTTAACTACTCCCTCTGACAATCCCAGAGGAATTCAGAAAGCCTGAGTGGCATTAGATTTCAGCAGATCTACAAACACTGCATCCAAAACAGTGGTTCTGTGTGGCCCATGAGGTCTCAGGCTACCCTTTGAGAGTCTGGCACAGAACAAGGTCTCCTTTTCACTTGACTCTCCTTTGCAAATACAAGGCCACTCTGCAGGGCCCAGCACCCCATGGGGCAAACATTCAGGGTAAGAATAGTCTTCATTCTTCCTGTGAAACTTTGAAAGACTTCTAAAGAACACAGGAAATTGTCGGACCCTATTTTCTGCTGAAAACAGCTGACACTATAAACTTTGAACATTCTATGGATTAGTTCCAAATCATGGGGACCAAGTTTGTTTGAAAAGCAGTAATGCTTTCACCAAAGATGTGATCACTCTGATAGACCATTTCAACATTATTTGCAAAGAGTGATGTATTTTACAACTCCCATTAAAAATTCTCATCAAAACTAGTTTATTTCCATGGTGTTCCTTACTGTTGATGCATACTACATTTCCTAACTCCAAAAGGTCATCTCCGGGTACAAAGTAGGTTTGGGAACTGATTAGAGCACAGAGACACTGCAAATGAACCACCACTGAAAACTGGAAAACCAATACTCTTGGGTTGGTCATGGTCATGGCCCTGGCATCACTACTGCCATCAACATTCAGACAAGTTCCTCAGGCCCACTTTCATATATACAGTCATATAGCAGTCAAAGTGATGCTCATTCCAAAATGAGAGGTGGGTCCTATTTTAGAGCTAAAGAAATATTTTGAAAGGAAAAGTACACCCTCAATTCAGACTCTGGTATTTGAACATAGGTGGTGTATTCAGTTTCCTCCTCCTCCAGGCTGTCTGTTGATAGTATAAGTATAGTAGCATAAACTGGGGATCATATAGCATGAAGTTGAGGCATACAGGCCCTGGGGCCACCAAGACGGGTTCACACTATAGTTCTACCAGTTACCATCAATCCTACTGGGTACGTAAACATCTCCAAACCTGTTTCCACATCTTTGACAGGATGGTACTGCTACCTATGAATAATTAAATGTGAATAATGTTCACTATTTTGCTTACTACTTATAACTAAGTGTTGAAATCATGAATTACTATTATAAAAGGGCAGGGAAAATATCCTGGGGTAGATGTTTACATTTGCAAACTTTTTATTAGAACAAGGTCTAACTTACAGAGTGGCAGACAACACTTCTTCCTTTTACATCAGATAGGGTACCACAGCAGTCTTCACTAAAACTTCCTTGAGGTTTCAACAATAGTTGAATATTAACCATCTACATACTAAATGACATCCAAAGTAGAATGGATTAGACAGACAACCTGGGAAGAATGCTAAACTTTTCCTTCCTCTTTAAATTTGTAGTTAGTTATGTAATTTATTTCATAATTAGGGATACATGTTTGAAAATATTTTAATAAGGAAATGTGATCAAGTTTACATTTAGAGTGAGTGATCTAGACACTTGCTCGTTCAATAAACATTTGGCTCTTGAGACATTATCAGAGTGCCTTAAACTTTATTCTTTCTTACCTACTATATACCCTGATCTCTATATTCCTAGGTCAGTTTCACTAAGAGGATAAAAGGCATATAAGATGCAAGGTGTCAATGTGCAAGTGATAGTGTGATACTAAACTAATGAGTCTGAGAACCAAGAGTCTATCTCCTCAGCCCTCAAAATTATATAACCTGCGGTATATAGAAATTAACCTTATGTGTCATTTACTATCCACTTCCTGTTACTTGTGAGCTTGGTAAACAATTAGATCTCATTCCACTAGGTGGCAGTAAAACTTCATCATGGATGGCCAAAGTACTTTTTCAGATATTAGTATTTACTTGGTCAAGGTTGCTTAATTAGAAAAAGTGATTAAAGAGTTACTTTCATTATACAATGCCACCAATACTAGAGACTAGGTAATGCCCAATTTTTTTTAATAGGTGGCCTATCAAGACTCATAATGTTACATATAAATGGCCACATAAAAATGGTGACAATCCACAGGCCCACCGTAGCAAAAATAACCCTCAGCATGCTTGAAAAATCTGGAATTAACATTTAAAAGATCCAGTAATGTACAGATTCTAGAACAGATTCAGGTAAAAACCTAGGTCTGACATGGATAAAGACAAAGTTTTCACTAGCGTGTAAAAATAAAGGCGGTGTACAAATCGAAGTATGCAGAAATTTTAAAAGGTAGCTATGAGAACCAGTTTCTAGAATCAGCAGTACTTCACCAATTAGCCAAGGAGTCTATAAAAACTTTCTCATTTTGCATCCTTCAATTCAGTAGGTTGTTCTTAATACCCCAAAGCCAAACTTTTCTGGTTAGAGTTATTAACCCAGCCTCTCTTAATGCAAGAAGTCAAACACACTAGTTCCACTTGCCCTCACATAATTGCTTAGTTATTCTTGATCATTTGATTCTAGATCTTGGAATAAAGCCACCTGTCTTTTAAAATGCAACTCACAGGATGTTATGCTCTCCAATAGCATAACAAGTATCCCAAGATACTTTAGGATTAATTAAGATAAAACTAAGATAATATTTAACTAGTAATGGCTACTAAGGACACAAATGATTATTGAAGTAATGTCCCATAACATCTACTTTAAAACTAGTACCCTAGGTTAAACTTATATGTAAAGTCAGGACTCTACAATATGAATTACCATCCTAATACATGTTTTACATTTTAGATCCATGTATGTTTGGAAAAGCAATAAATCTTTCAAGCATACTGACATATTTTAAATCATTCAGCAACTGAAGTAAACAAACATACTGGCTAACTGGAATGATTACTTACTTCCTTTCTGCTTGGATCATTAATTTTAAGGTGAAACTTTTTGAAGTGATGAACTGGGTTGCATTAATTATATTCGGCATGCCATAAAGTATTATGCTAAAATCTGTATCATTTTGACCTTAGTAAAAAAGAAATTCACTTCCTCTTTTCCAGTTAAAATAACTTTAATTTCTAGGGACATGAGAATTTATTTAATGGGAATGAGTTGGGGTTTATTTTCAGAGAAGTAAAATTAGTAAGAAACGGCAATGGGTAGAGAAATGCTTTCGCTATTAAATATGCATATAAACATTTTAAATTATCAGACATACAAGAGAAAAGATAGTTATATCATGGAGAAGAAAAATTCAGCTGAAAAGTTTCTTCCCAAATATCTTCTACTCTTGTATATCAGTTTACAAATATTTAAGAACCCACACTCTGTTACATCACAACATTGTTTATTATGTGAATTTTTTACAATACAAACAAAAAAATACAGAAATGCAATATATGAATACAGCTAAATGCAGAATGGTGTCTTTTTTCTTTTTAAGAGGCCATGATTTCCATGTCTAGTAAAATAAAGAGACTGCACATAGGTAGAAACAGGTTGGTCATTAGCTTCACAATTTTGCCTAGAAATGACCTATAAATGCAATTTTTCCCCTGCTACTTACCATAAAATGTAAAAAGGGAATTAAAGAAAAGTTTCTTTGTTGGTTCCTACCATATGAAAGATGCTATATTCTATTTTAGCAGGGCCAATATATGGAAAATACCTAAATTAAATGTTATCACAAAAAATGAAGCAGTAATGAGATTCTGGCTAAAGAGGGCACTAAATGAAAATAATATAAGTTTAAAGAATCCGAAACAAACAAACAAAAAAAGGTTGTTATAAAAAAGCTCTAGGTGCACTGTAAGCATATAGGTTTTTTTTTCCATGTGTATTTTTAAACAATGGAAGTGTCAAAAAATAGGGTCAACTGTGTTAGACTAAATTACATTATTGTATACGCTGCATTGAATGGAACCTTTGTAGTATAATTATCAGAGAGAAGCATAGTTTAGCATCATATTATGGCAATTTATCCTCAATGAAAACCTTCCAGAGTCCTTTTATTTTGGAATATCCTGTAAACAATCAAACCACCAGAACATGATTGTACAACAGTAAAATGTTTTCTTGCATTAAATTGAAGACATCTGTTTAATAAAAAAAAAAAAGAAAAATGTAGGAAAGGTACTTAGAGCTGTTAGTTTCTAAGTACACAACACCCTATACAATTAAAGGCATCTTAATTTCCATCAAGAACAACAACAGAAAAATTTTGTCATGCTGTTAAATCCATCATTATGGATAAAACTGGTGCAAATTGGTCAAACGGATCCAACAAACACTGATGTCCAAGCTGGCATATTGGCAACTAATACGTAACTGGTGGTCACTAGAGGGTTTAAAAGATCTTCCCTTTCTTCTTGTTCTTCTCCAAGGTTCTAAATGATTAAAAGGAAAATAATCAAAATAAGTGACATTATAAACAACAAATGAGAGCAACAGATAATTACAACTGTGTTTGATTTTCAAATACTACACTGTTTCGTTTAAAATACTGGATGAATATCTAAGATTTAGAAGTGAACATTAACAACAGTACTAGTCTTTACTAGTACTTTTTAGACAACCAAATGCTAGATGAAATTCCAGAATAAGAAGTAAAAACTGTAACAAAAACCCATTATTTTAAATGTAAGAACAATCTTTTCCCCAAATGTAATAGCATAAAATAAAAACAATCAACTGACATCAAAGTTTCCTTCTCTGCTACAAACATCTGCATTCCACAACACATTTGCTTTTTCATAAATATATTTTCCTCCTACTTGGGGAAAAAAATTACTGGAAGGAAATACTACAGACCAAATACTTAATCTTGGAAATGTAGAATTCTTACAGGATACAACTTTTCATATACTTTTTCAAAGATTTATTTATTTATGCATACAAAACTGGGGTATAGGCCAGAGGTGTGGGGCAGTGAGAGGATACACCAGAGACAGAGTGGGAAGCAGAACGTAGTCTGGCTGAAATATACTGCTGAGGAGAGTAGTGGGCAAGACAGGAGAGTTCTGCTATACCATATGGGTCGCCTCCCTAGCTGGGGATCAAACTTGTAAAGTAGTGCTGAAGCAGCTGCTACCAGCTTCCTACCTAGTGCTGTGCTTTAACCCACTGTGCCACCAGGGAGGGCCCAACTTTTCACATTTTAATGGGAAAAAAAGAAAACCAAGGTGCAAATGTTACTGAGTTTAAGAAACTGATTAGCTGGATTAGGGATCAGATATCCAAAATTTTACCTCATATCAGTCCAATACAATTAAAACAGCTCTAAATTTATAAAAAAAATTGTACATGGTACCTTCTATGCTTGCTAAGAACTGAACACGACTGATATGTACAACATAAAGGGGATAAGAAATTAAACTAAATCCAGTGGGACAATGTAATGAAAATGTTAAACGCTAATTCTGGAGTTTGTTAACTCATGGAAAATGTAGCAAAAAATACTATTATAGCCAGACTATATCGATATAAAAATTTTCATTCACAAAAATATTGCAATACTTGAAAATGGTGGTATCTTTATTCTTTTTATTTAGTTTCATGGATATTATTGTACCCACTATTTTTTCTTTCTATCACCATTCCTTAATCCTCTTTGACCCTTTTTCTTATCTCCATCCTTTTTAACCTGAGAAGCCCCACTTCATTTACTAGCATCCTCTATTTTAATACTTTACTTTTTTGAATCGTTTGCCTTGTAAATGCTCAATGTTTATCTTAGTCCTTCTGACTTACTTTACTACACAAGATTCCCTCAAACTCCTTTTCTGTTGTTGTAAATAACAACATTCTCTTTCCTGATGACTAGTATTTCACTATAAGGATGCCACATCTTCTAAATAATCCAAACCTTATCAGTTGGTATTCATGTTGTAGTGTTTTCCTACAATGCCACTTTATAAACAGAAAAATAAATCTTTAAATTAAATTATTTATACTTATATATGCACATTTCCTGGAGTCTGATATTAATTACCTTGAAGAGTTCTGTTGTTCTAAAATACGTTGTTGGGCTTCCCAGTTTGCTTTCTCATCTTCAAACTGACGGCGTTTTTCCTCTAATTCTTTGTGCTGTGCTTCCAAATTCTTTTTCATTTGCTCATGGCGCCGCTGGAGCTAAATCACAGCATAATATATAAAACAAAACTGTTTAAGAAATCAGGAGCAGAAGTACATTTGATCCAGGCACCCCAATTTTAACAGCACAACCTGGAAGTACCATATAGGATTCCTCCTCCTATAGGAACTGCAACTAACAGACCAGTGAGAATAAGTTCCCAAGAGATAATCTTGGCAAATAGAAAGAAAAAGTACAAGTTTGTTTACAGTTTTATGCACTTTATAAGTACCTATAAGTTCCAAGATCAAAGTAAGGGCCTCTGATCTTAATAAAGTGGTTTTCACAGATTAATTTTCATACAAATCACTTGAATTGTTTGTTAGATATACAGTATACTTCACTTCACCCAGACATACTAAATTATAATTTTCAGGTGGTAAGTCTAGAAACTGCATTTTTAACATAACAAGCCCAGTGATTCTAATGCAGGTACCCCTTCTCACATAGTGAACACGCTGTATAAAATGCCGGTTGAAAGGTGGGAAAGTAACACAGAAACAAGGAGCTTATTTAATGATTCATTGAATGATTTCATTTAGGCATTAGTCAACCTATTTCAGAAGAAAAGTCTTACAAATTAAAAATAATAAAATTAAACCTCACTACACTAAATATCCAAGGATTACTGAAAATCTTCAAGTGTCCAGGAATTAGTTCTATTGGAGATCATATTACATCTTGATTTGGATTGTAATAATACTTTTGCATACAATCTGTTCTCAATTGCATAACAGACTCACAAAAAAGTGACTTTATAGTCATTCTTACTACAAATATTTCATGTAACTCCTACAAAATGAAACCATCTAAGATAAACTTAATATGAGTCAAATTTGAGATAAATTCCTGATACTAAAAACCTACTGATAAAAATATCAAAAAGTAGAAACACAGAAAAATGTGTTATTAGAAAAATGCCAGGTAATCTAACATATGCAATTCAGAATAATTACTTGTGGAAGGAGAGAACACAACAGGCAAAAGCCCAAAGGAGCCTCAACTGAACTTAAGGTGGTCAGTAGGTAGACAAGTGTTCATCATTCTTTACACGAGCATATTTTATATTAATTGTGTGCAGTGGAAAATACAATTCACAATCCCTAACTCTCAAAAACCTCTTGCAGTTCAGAATCTTTTGTATTTGAGAAGATGCGCAGAAAGATTTATAGACTACATTTACAAAATATCTTTTGAACTGTCTACCTGGCATTTATAATCACATACAATACTATTTTTTGCAGTAGAATGTTCACCTCAAGTGGGCCAAACACTGTTAGTTCATGTACAGTTTTTCAGTTTTTAGAGCTTTTTAGTATTTGAAATTGTGGGTACATGATTGTGGACTTGGTGATGAGTTAAGAGCAAACTTTGAGTTAAATTAGGAGATTCTACTTATTTGATCGAAACAGGTAGATAGCACTGACCAAATCAATTTATCTTTCACCTCATGTAAAAAAGAGAGATAAAAAATAACCACCTCTCACAGGGCTGTAATGTGGATTAAATAACAATATGTTAAGATGCTTACTTAGCACTGTGACTGATGCACCATGCAGCTTGATTATTAGCAGCTAGACCCCGAATTTTAGTAACACATATGAATTTATTTAAAAAGACCAAATAGGTTTTTTCACTAATACAGTTATACGGTTTATAATACAGGGAAAACGTTACCCTCTTTATTGGTCTTTCAATGCTAAGAAAGACTCCATACTTCAAAGAATAATTAAGAATCTCAAAACTCTTGTTTTTACCATTCCCAACAATCGTGAAAACTCTAAAGTGTTCTTTGATTATAGTTTTATAGTTATTTGTCAATATGATTTATTCTTGGTAGCATGGATATTTCTATACCAACTATAAATTCAATTTTTATATTGTCAATGGGCCGTAAATATAGAGATAATGCAGAACCTTGATTAATCATGTTTTTTTTTTTAAAGATTTATTTTTTCATACAGAACTGGGGTATAGGCCAGAGATGCGGAGGGTGAGAGGATTCACCATAGACAGAGTGGGGAGCAGAACCGGCAGATTGACGAAACACACTGCTGAGGAGAGCAGCAGGCGGGTCAGGAGAGGTCTACCATGCCATGTGGTCACCTCCGGGGCAGGCGGGGATCAAACTCATGCAGAAGCGGCTTAAGCTTCTTAGTGCTGTGCTTTAACCCCGCTGCGCCACCAGGGAGGGCCAATTAATCATGTTTTTAATGTCCCTTCTGATATAAATCTTCCAGATTACTTATCAATTAGGGACTCAAATAGACGGATTTAATAACATGCTAGTAAACTAAAAAAGGCTAAATTTAATCTCCAAATGGAATACTAGTCCTGGTTGGCAATCTCAAACCAGGAGGATAATTTCATACCCTGCTTAATTAACCTTATCACAAATAAAACAATATAGTTCTCCCTTTTTTTGGGTAAGAGATTATTTTTATAAGTGGAGCCACATGACACAGATCTCACTCAATTTTATCTTTAAACATTCTTTTAAAAATATTTCATATTCTTGGAATGCTTTATCATTATCCTATCTGATATTGTAACACTGACAATTACTTTGAAACTATCTTGCAAATAAGACCAATTCATTTTCTTTCCCTTTGACTGTTAGCATGTCCTTAGTTCAATGAAAGGTTCATTCTCATTCTTATTCCAATGAAGTCACACCTGCTATTATACCAGCACTAGTTTGTACTCTTAATCCACCCAAAACGCTTATCTTTTTTTTATACACTGTATATGCAAGAACTTATGATTTCATTTTTCTTAACTTGCTCATCAAAAGCAGTAATACATTATAAATATTAGAACTAGCATATCTTCCTACCAAGTATAAATCTGTGTGCAAACATTTACATATTGAAGCATACATCACTTTATTATAAACACATGCTTGTATTTATCCATCTTGTTATAGGGTATTATATTATAAAAAATGAGTAAAAGGTTATATTATTTATGATCTCTTATTAAAGATATTTATCATTTCAAAAAGGAACACTGTGTCATTAGAGCTAGACCTCCTAGGTTGATTACCTCAGCTTCAGAGTCCTTCAGTTTTTGAACTTTTTCTTTGACCTTCATGTCAAACACCTGCTCCATCTCCATTTCCATTTTCTTCATCTTAGCCACATGCTCTCGTCTCTCTTCTTCCATTTGTGCAAGAGGGCTCCTGTTATGAATATTGAGGAAATCATTAGAACTGTAATACTAAAATTTTCAAAAGTGATTTAAAAACAAGATATTTAGATTACTAAATTCTCTGCCTTTTGAAATTTTAAAAAAGATTTATTTATGTATGCATACAAGAACAGGGTACAGGCCAGAGGTGCCAGGGGTGAAAGGATTTGGAGGGGAGCAGCAAGCGAGACAGGAAAGGTCTGCCTGTGCCATGTGGGTCACTTCCCTGGCAGAGTATGGAACTCACGCTGCAGTGGCTGCAGATACTTCATAGTGCTGCACTTCAACCTTTGCACCACTAGGGAGGGCCCCCTCTGCCTTTTTAAAAAATAAGTTTCAAGATAAACAAATTATTTGGACACCATCTTAAATTACAATACAAATTTGTCGTTTCATTTTATAAACACCTTCCTGAAGGTGAGAAATAGAGTATTCAGAAAGATCACACTGGCATGGGCAGTTTTAAGACAATCAATGTCCAGATTCTTAACTTCTATACAAAATTCTGCATAAAGTGATCTGCCTGAAAGTCTTCAAAAATTCTGCCTAAAGTGATCTGCCTGAAAGTCTTCAAATTACAGATAACCCATCTTATTTTACAAGAAGACCTCTTACACTCTCTTATCTATTCTTTACCTACACTATACTGTTCCAAAAGTAGCTGAAGGTATGAAAACTTCCAGATGACAAAACGGCATTATATCATAACCTCAAAGATGATCTGTATTTTCCAATATTAAACATGTTTCTATTAAAAACAATGTGTGGTGTTACATGTTACAAACGTGTTATTTAGGATTACGTAGGGATACTCTGAGCAAAGTAAGATAGCTGTAGTACTGGCAATCTGTTATTAATGACCTTGCCTCTTTGACTTCAAAATTCCTGCAACATCAATTTGCTCAGCTGTCATCATTTTCACAGGATATAGTGCTATGAAGGGAAAAGTCCAGTTACAGCAAAAATAGGTCAATAAGAAGACCAAAATGCATATTTGCTTACTTCATATATTTAAGTATTAGCTATTCTTTTCAGTTATTCATGAATAGCTAGCTCCTTAGCTACAAAAGTACCTCACATGAGCTAAAGCACCATTAGTTGTGGGTACTGTTTTTTCTTTTGTTAATTCAACTGGGGTATTTTCTAATATTGCCAACATTTTCAAGACATTTACAACCAAAGGATAAAACTTCCAAATGACTTCATTTAGTTTCACCATGTGTTATCCAATAAAGTAGTAAAAACCCAATTTAATAAATTATAACAATATCAATTTCAACTAAAGTCATTCCCAACTGGAATTCCCAAATAGAAAAAATATTTTTCTATTTACTCTTGACAACAAATAATTACTAACTCTGGGACAATTTGCTTTTTAGCAGTATAAAATGTCAACTCAAAACAGAATCTTGTCCTTTAATTATAAAAAAAAAGAAATTAAAAATCAACTAATTTTTAAAATAACCATAGCAAGTTTCTAGAGGTGTTTTGTGAAGCATGCATTACTGGTCACTTGTATTAGAATTATTTTGAGTGCTTACTGAAAATACAAACCCATCCCATATTTAATGAATCAGAATCTTTTTAACAGTCACTCAGAATCCTTGAAATCAGAAAACTAAGGAACTGATTGATTAAAAACTTCAAGTAAGTATGCTATTAGCATAAGCAGAAACTCAAAGTCAATAAATAAATAAATAAATTAGGGTCTAAGAATCAAGCACCATTTGGGAAATATGCAAGAAAATAAACAGAATTAAGATCAATTTTAAAAGAGAACTGCTGGTGACTTTGCCAATGACTGTTAATGCTTTGTGTGCTTTTTTTTTTTAAGGACACTGGAGACATACTAAACAAACAAACAAACAAACAAAAACATTAAGTACAGTTCTCCCCCAATATAAGGAATACTGACTGCTATGTAGTATTACTGCTTTATGAACTTAACCTTTCTTATTAATAATACAAATGTTCCTTCAGGATTACTCTCTCTAATGATAATAAACATCACCAATCTGCACACATTATACATTGCTAAAAGTTTTTGCACTTATGGTCAACAATCTCAAATTAAGTAAAAAAGGACGGACTATTACCAAGAACTGTATCAGCTAATACCTATTCTTTCATAAAATAATCACAGCTTGATAACACTAGCTTAGAGTAAAGCTTCTAATAGACACACACTACCCTATCAGCAGAATAAATTTACTCTATTAGTTATGTACCCAGAGAATATTTGTGTCAATATTTCTTTCATTTGGTCCTGTTTCCTCTTTCTGCATAATCATGAGTACACTGCCATCAAAAAATTTTAAAAAGACATGAAGATACAGAAGTTCTATGTTTAGTATCTTTAACAAGATTATGAAATGTGTCTTAAAGTAAAATGGGCTAACATCTTAATAGTGACTATTCTCTTAAAAAAATATTTGCGGCCCTCCCTGGTGGCGCAGCCGATTAAAGCACAGCACTAAGAAGCTAAAGCCACTTCCGCATGAGTTCAACCCTGCCTGTCCCGGAGGAGATCCACATGGTACGGCAGACCTCTCCTGACCTGCCTGCTGCTCCCCTCAGCGGTGTACTTCGTCGATCTGCCTGTTCTGCTCCCCAGTCCGTCCCTGGTGAATCCTCTCACCCTCCACATCTCTGGCCTGTACCCCAGTTCTGTATTAATAAATAAATAAATCTTTAAAAAAAATATTTGCTAGAGGAATTCCTTGGTTTCTAACTACATATGATTAAATGTGTGATTAAAGATTTTAAAGATGATGACAAATCAAATCACAAGACTTGAAAATGCATGCCTGTCACTTAGAAAAAAGATAACACTTTCTCTAACAATTATACAGTAAAATATAAAACTACAAAAACTAAAGCTTTCTTTATATGACTTCCTATTCAATTTTCTATTGAGTAGCCAGCGTATGCTAAAAATTTAGTACATACATGTCTTTTATGGAGGAAAAGATGGATACTTACTTAGTAAGTTGCCCTTTATTCTTGTTATTATCAACTCCATTGTAAGTCACAGCTGCCAGTTTTCTGCTTCTGTAGTTCTCATAGTGTACATTATTAGTGACATCTTTTAAATCTTGCATGTGTGTCCTGTTATAAACATCAAGAATTTGCTTCCATTTTAAAAAGTTTTGATTTAAATAGAAAAATATATCAAAGGAAAAATTTCAGACTTAAACAGTTAAGACTAGTCTTAAAATGGTATTCATAAATTTTCATTTACACTCATAGCACAGCAAGATACAATGACCTAGCATGACCCAGTGGAAATTTTGGTTCCAAATGAGAATTTTAGAGCCATTAAGTACACTTAATGCAGTTACTAAAAGATGACATTTGGAAAGAAAAGTACTCATTCTTACAGTATACATCTCTTACTTGGGAAAAAGTATAGCTCCCATTAAACCTTATAAAACCTAAAAAAAAATGCTTTTCTTTTTTATTAATTTTGGGTCTTCACTAAACTTGAGGGGTAACTGAGATCACCTATGAAGTTTTAATTAAACTTCACTGTTCTCTTTACTCAACATTCCAGTTAATATAGAATTTTGGATAAATTAATTTTACTACTCCTTTATGGCTCAAAATGTTAAAGATACTCTGAGTTGCTCTGTAGATATTCTTTATCAAGGCCATGTTGTTGGATACAGATGATGTGGCAGTGCTCTGTATCACTTGATTCTCCCTTTCTCATCATTCATTCCATCTGCCATCTTCTATCTCTACCATTTTACCATGACTCCCTTTATTTCTACCTTTCTCTTTGTGAGCAGAATGTGATGTTCAATTACTTTGATTCCTCTCCTACTATCTAATATTTCCATGCACCATCCTTCTAGTTCCAAGTCTGGGGTTTGTGTAAATCTCATCTCTCTATATTCTGTCCCTTAATTAATTTGTCCTTTCTACAGTCACTACCATTACACTGAAAGCTCCACCAGACTCCAATTTAGTCACACAGGAAACTTCTTAAGCCTAGCACGTCCAGGACTGGTTGGAATTGAAAAACTCATATGAATTTGTCACTGACTCTCCAAACTTCTAAGACTTCTACTACTCTAGGTGCTCTCTTCCCAGACTTGAAGTCAAGCTACTCTACCCTATGACAATCATCTCCTTGGTTATCTTTCACTGTTTTGGTACAAGTATATGTTTTAAGTGACACCATATATAACCTTTCCACTTGTATCATAAAACCCCTTTACAAGAAACATGACATCATCTTTTGTATTCTCACTTTAAGTAGTACATATTAGGTACAACTTCAAACATTCAACTAGTTTTTGATTCATAATTAGCCTTTACTTTTATATCTATAATGCTTAAATACCTATCGTGTTTTGGGTATGAAGGTAACTGATTCTGTATTTTTAAAATACAAAGTTAAAGAATACCAGTGTATCAAGCACTTGGCAAGTAACAGATTTAAAATTTAGGAAAATAGTAAAATCAGAGGGAATACACTGGTAATTAACATTCATAAAACATTACCAACACATATAATGTCACAAAATAAATTACATTTTAGTTCTTTTTGAAGTCACATCTTTGGAACTGAAAGCATTCTGTAATAAAACTTAAAAACCACTTTTATATGTAATCACTCTTATCACACTATGTGATGCATGGCAACCCCAACTGCTAAGCCAACTCAAATCATGTACTTCATTACTGAAAACACCCACCTATAAACTTCTTTGACAGAATCACTTATATGGCAATCTCTGGTTTCAAAAATTCACTCTCATCTCTAGTCTCTCTTGAGGTGGCCATTTGACTCAAATTTACCCCCTCACTTTGAGAGTGAACTCGTCCATGGTTTCTAACTATAACTAATGTGTATGTTACTACTTCCACACAGCTAAAGAGATTCTTGGGAAAGAGGAGAGTAGTGTGAAAATGAACATTAACTTTTTTAGATGGCTATTCAAACTTGGAGGTTGAGGAGAATACATAGTGAGAGTCTGGAGAAGTAATCAAAATAAGAGAAAACTGGGGAAAGGGTATGAGGTGACAAAAGAAAGGACTCAGTCTCAATATGAAAGCACTGTGGTTCCTTGTCCACGAACATCTCCAGTTGCTTTAAATTCCTCCTTTATGGCTTCCTCTCTGCTGCTGCTTTTCTAATTTAATCCCTGGTCCTCTAGTCAAGATTACCTCAATGTCCTGCTCTCACAGGCTTTTCTTCTCTTTCATCAGGTGCACAAGGTACATTATAGGAGTAATGTTTTCTGGCCTGGGAGGAAGATTGGTTCTGTTCACTGTGTTCCAGTACAACAAGTGCCCCACTCACCAGTTACCAGGTTATGTACCTTTTAACATTCAAAGTCTAGCTTTTGAATCAAAACCTAGCCTTCCCTTCCAGTTTTCCCAAGCTTTTCATATAGAAGAAGAGTCTTTTCCTTTCCACTTTCCAGACTTCTTTTAGTATAACCCCAACACAAAGTATAATAATACACTAATTTCCTATATATCCTCAGCCACACACAGCTAATTCTGCATTTTTGCTTATAACTCTAAAGTACCAAATTGTTTCTATGCAGTGCATATTAATGCCAGAGTGAAAATAACCACTTAAATTAGCAATATTTACAGAAGACTATACACACACACACACACACATACATATGTATGTGTGTGTGTGTGTGTATATATATATGTATGTATGTATGTATGTCCAACTCTAGGGAGAAAAAATTGGCATTTTATTTACTAGTTACACATACCTTATCAACATATTTCTTAGAATTGTAAAATCACAATGTTCACCATTCTCAACTACAAAAAAAGACAACAAAAATTAGTTTCATTAAAATGAGTATTTTAAAGAAAATTTCATTGGGAATTAATGCTAACAATGAGAAAATATTAAAAATAGCTTAGCTCATTTTTTTTAAAATCAAGGTTTAAATAGCACTGTTAAGTGTGTACAAAAGAAGTAAATTATCTTACTTTACTGTAGCCTCATTCTCAGTGATAAAAATATATAAACCTAGCAAATGAGTAATCCTGAAGTAAGCAATTTTGAAATTTTGAGAAGGAAAATTATGTATTTCCCTATACTGTTAGACAATATATATTTATTCCGTAATAAACTACATTTAAAAAATTTAGTGTTGGGGATACAGGAGAATCACTTTAGAAAAATCTGCTTAAGATAATCTGAATGAAAAGTTAAGAACTTCAAGGTTCTTTATCTTTTTAAAGAATAACACAAATAGGAACATTCTTGGAGGGTGAGACTAGGAAGGAACACCAATAACCTGGAAATATGAATTTTTTTAATGCATATTTCTAAGGGCTATAAAAATTCTAAAACCCGGGCTCAGAAACTGAAGGTTACTTGGAGATGAAAGAGAGCTAGTAATGGCTGTAAGGCTATTTAGTAGGGAAACTCACTGATAAGAACAGTAACTAAAATAATAGAATTTTCTAAGTAATACTGACAAACAAATAATCATGGCTCAATTTGGGTTCCAAATATAACTTATAGCACATATTAAATCGTATGTTAAGTCACTATAACATATACACACCTATTTGATGTATGATCCTATAACTAGTATTTTATTGATGTGTATAACATTTTACGAAATTTGAAGTGGATCTCTTAATAATTGGTTTAATCTAAAAATGCAATGCAAAGAAAAGGAGACTGTGATTGTTTCAAATGGGCTTCTGAAAGTTATCGTTTTTGAGGGTTCCAGACCCACCTCAGACTTGGATAAAAGTGAAAGACCTTTTCTCCAACATTTTTTTTGCAATCCTAGAAGTTTTATTAGATTCTTTGGAAGTAATCTTTGGACCTAAGGTAAAGAATTCCCACATTTCTCTACCCAAGGTAAAGAAAACAAGAACAAGGTAATGTTGGGGAAGAGCTGGGAGGATAGAAGACCAAGTGACTATAAAAGTATTACATAAGAATTTAACATGTACTTGCCTGACTTAGGACACACAGCCTGGGAAATTGGAACATACTTACAATGAAATGAGACTATATCAAACAACTGAAATCTTCAAAAATCTACAATTAATCTGTGTAGTATACATGTTATTTACTATAAATGCAAAAATGTTCTGACACTGTGACATCTTACCAAAAAAAAGTTATTCACTGAAGAAAATCTTACCTTCAGCAACACCCCAAGGATACTGCCTTCCTCTGACCCTTTTGCCATTCACTTCAATGATAGTATTACTACCTACCACAGCAAGAGGTAAACGGTCCTATAAAACAAAGTGTTCTTGTTCAAATAGATCTTAGTCCTCACAAATTCAAGAATAAAGAAATTACATAGGCCACTATTTTCTATTTAGTCAACTGCTATTACAGTACATTTTTTTTTTAAGATTTATTTATTCATACAGAACTGGGGTACAAGCCAGAGATGTGGAGGGTGAGAGGATTCACCAGAGACAGAGTAGGGAGCAGAACAGGCAGATTGACAAAGTACACTGCTGAGGGGAGCAGCGGGCGGGGATCGAACTCATGCAGAAGTGGCTTAAGCTTCTCAGTGCTGTGCTTTAACCCGCTAAGCCACTAGGGAGGGCCTACATTTTACCAACACAAATAATGAATAAAACTTCATTTTCTCTGAAATTTTAAGAATACTAAGGTATATGCTGATCAAATTATTGGTTTAAAAAATGGAGCCAGGCCCTTCATGGTGGCTCAATGGGTTAGGACACAACACTGTAAACTAGCTGCAGGCACTTCAGCGCAAGTTCTATCCCTGGCCCTGGAGGTGATCCAAATGTGCGGAAGACCTCTCCTGACCTGCCCACTGCTCCCCTCAGTACTTCGTTGATCTGCCTGTTCTGCTCCCCACTCTATCTCTGGTGAAGCCTCTCACCACCCCCTGCACCTCTGGCCTGTACCCCAGTTCTGTATAAATAGATAAATCTTCTTAAAAAGTTAAAAATAAAAAATGGTATCAAGATGCTGTTTCGCATTGGAAAAAATCATTTTTTTACTCTGGAAAAATTTTTAAGGGTAAAAAATGTATTGGCTGGTAGCAGGAAAAATAAGGCTTGTGACTATGCTGCCTACCAGATCATAAACCATTCTCAACATCCCTGGAAACAGAGAACCTTATGCTCACTAAATTCAACCTTTGGAATTCCAGATCGACTGGATTAGATTTGTATGCACTGAAGTTAATTAAGAGTACCTTTCAAAGTTCTTGTAGCTTCCAGAAATACATTAAAAATAAAATACATGACTACTTTTAATCTCAGAAATTTTTTATCATTTAGTCATAAATAGCTCATTATTTTCAGATAATTATTTGTCTACCTAACATCATAAATCAATAACCATTAGTGGGTTCCAGTTACTTATAAGTCAAATACACATAAAATTAGGTTTGTATAAATTTTTGGTGGGTTTTTATAAAAGGACAAATTGTCATTCTTTTGTGTGACTGTTAAAACAAAGATTAAACATAATACTGTTTAAATATGAATGCACTCTATATTAGCCTTTTTTAAGGGGGAAATTACATAATATGAAATCAGTTATCAAAAACCATAAAAAAGAGTTATGTCATCCTACTATCCCATAAAGTACCTTATGAAAAGTTAATTGCAAATTGAACTCAACACTTAAAAAACACTTTACAAAGATAAACCAGCTAATGATATTTTTGGTCTTTCCAAATGCTATTATAATGTTTTTCAGGTCCCAAATCATTTTAGTATATATATGAGAATAAACCTACCTTTATCTTTTTAACAAGCTTATTTTCTTCTTCATCATCTGTTTCTGGAAATTCATATATTTTAATTTTATGTTCTTGGATTTCTTTCATAATCTAAAATGACAGCCAAGAGAGTACATACATAATCAGTATATTAGCTTTTTTTTTTTTAACATTAGCTTTACTTTTTTATTTCTCTACTTAAATTCTTATAAATCCTCAGCTCTAGGTCCTTTGCTAACTGTGTCGATTCCATAGAGCTATAAACCAAAATCAAAATACTATTCTGGTTGTTTTATTTTTAACTAAGATTGTTGTTATGTAAATACCATTGACAAAATCCAATTACTTCACAAGTGTCAAAATCAAATGGTTGTAATATCAAGAATTATAAAAATGATGTAAGATTCCAGAAGGGATTCCCTGGTTGATTTTTACTATACAGCTTTAGGTCACTTGTTTACAATGACTAAGATTCTTTCTCTAGGTAAAACTCTCATCATTTGTTGTATTTAACTAAATTCAATAGAAATTAAACTCATCTAAAAGTTTTACTAGAACTTGCAAAAGTGAGTAAAACTAAGTACAGCATTTGTTCCAGGAGAAAAAAATTTGCATACTGATTAGAAAATTGTCTTGCATGTATATGTGCATACAAACAAATCAAGGAACAACAGATACAAGATGAGGTAAAGCATAAAGCGTAAGTAAAGAAGCTAAAGCATTAAAAAGGAGAATGTAGGAAGGAGGGGGTGTTGGGGACAAAAGAAAATTTATTAACAACATCAGAAATGATGTTAACCTACCTCAAATTAATTTATCTTGTCTCAAATCAGCCCACATTTTAAACAGAATCTAGACATCCAAATAATGCTCACTACCTACCCTATTCAAGCTCATGATAAACAAATATCTAATATACCAAAACACTAGATTTCTAACTATACTGAACAGTTCAGGCCTACTCTCACTGTTAGGGTCCCTGCAGCAGTAGAACCTCTAAACACAAAACTGACCAAATACTTTTTAAGATGTCATATATTTAAAAAAAAGAAAAGGTAAGGAAAAATAAACCTGTGCCTTTTACTAATTAAGCTTTTCTGTAAATGGAATGTATAGATCATGACTAGATACTACTTTATTCCAAATAAAGTTCTAAAAAAAATGACAATAATGTCAAATCACTGAAGTAAACATACCGATCATAGAAGGAATTTGGTTGTATTATTGGAAAAGCACCATGACAAAATATGGGGGGAAAAGAACTATAAAATAATGAGAGCCTTTAAAAAAGGAATTCTCTCCTGTGGAATTCAATCTAACAAAATAATCCCAATTAATATTTTGTCCTGGAACAAATGCTATTACTTACTTAGTTGTACATGCTTTTGCCAAGTTATTCTAAATTTTTTAGATGAGTTTAATAAGCTCTATTGATTTAGCTGAATGCAGCAGTTGGTGACAGTTTTACCTAGAGAAAGAATCTCAGTAGCGTGGGTAGAGGCTATACAAAAACATCTAAATAGCCTTAAAATTTTAAATGGACAAAGAATTTAGGAAGAAAAGAGAGAGTATACTTTCTACAGCTATTTTTAATGCTGTATAAGTGACAATACAGTGTAGTTGCAAGAGAAATACATAGCAACATACTGTACTAAATATTCATGAATGGTATGAAAAACCCAAGTTTCAAGCTCATTCTGGTCACCTGTTTTTTAAACTGTTGGCATTCCTCCGGTGTGAGTGTGTCTGCTTTGGCAATAAGTGGGATGATGTTCACTTTTTCATGCAAGCGTTTCATAAACTCAATATCCAAAGGTTTAAGTCTGAAATAAACAAAATTTAAAATGTTTGATCAATTTAGAAGAATCTTCACATACCCAGAGCTAAATTAAATATATTACAACCACTTTACTTATCAAACACCTTCAGACGATAAATTAGGTCAGTCATAGTTAAGTAGATGAAATCTTCAAGAAGTATTGGAGTGATGCTATTTAGAATAGCAAAAATATGCTGACAACCTAAATGTCCCCAACCAGGTGACTGGATCAAGAAGATGTGGTATATACAAACAATGGAATACTACTCAGCAATCAAAAAAAAAATTCACCATTCACAGCAACACAGATGGAGCTGGAAGGGATTATGCTCAGTGAAATAAGTCAGAAGGAAAAAGAAGTATCCGATGATTTCACTTACAGGAGGAACATAGGGAAACCGTAAAAGGGGTCAGAAAAATAAAGAAGACAAAACTAGCAGTCAAACAATAAATCGGAGACATTCATCTGCGGAAGGGGCGGTAAGAGGATCAAAACAGGAGGGAAAAGTCTATGATGTAGGTGCATTGGTGTCTTGTGATAATTTGATGGAGATGGCACCTGAGAGGATAAATCAAACACCATAAAAAAATGAATGATATAAATATAAATAAAAAATAAAGAAAGTAGTATTGGAGTGCCTGCTCTTGAACATTCTGATCCTAAGAAATTTGGTCTAAAAATTTTTGAAAAATCAGAAAAACTCTTAACAGGTTTTTCTAGAGTAGCCTCTACATTCATTTGAAAGTATTTTTATATTTAAGGATTTATTTATTTATTCATTCAGAACTGGGGTACAAGCCAGAGGTGCAGGAGCGGTGAGAGGATTCACCAGAGACAGAGTAGGGAGCAGAATAGGCAGACTGATGAAGTATACTGCTGAGGGGAGCAGCAGGTAGGTCAGGAGAGGTCTGCCACGCCCTGTGGGTCACCTCCAGGGTGGGGGGAATCAAACTCGCACTGTGGCCAGCTTGCAGTGAGTGTTGTGTCCCAACCCATTGTGCCACCAGGGAGGGCTACAATGACAAATATTTATAATATGTTATTAAGAAAAAGTCTTAATACATGCTACTAAGAAAAAAATCTCATATATAAAATAGCTGTTTTTTTTAAAGTGGCAATACTCAAAAGGATAAAAACAACATCTGAAAATTCAAGCTCCAAGATAGTTTGTAACTTTAATAGTGATTACAAATCACTGAACAAGGAAACTTAAATAACAAAAGCTGAAAATAAAAATTTTGCTCTATACTCAGTCATGACACTTGGTGAGCTAAGGTGATAAGGGCGGGGAGGCGGGGAGGGAGAGGCTGAAAATACAATGTTGGACCAATTTTAATTACTTCAAGAACAGGATCCTTCTGAAAAGGGAATCCAGGGACTACCCAGCAAAATAAGAGAGACCCTGATCCATTTATTAGACTGCCTGGAATTTCAGTCTATAGTGAGAAGGGTATTTGAAACTCTAGGTAAAATGCAATGTCATATTCTTTCACATAGAAGCACAAAACCATGGGCAAAACTGTTCCACTTCTAAAAATAATTATTAAAATGAGAAATTATTCAAAGCACATTTTTGAACATAGCAAATAATTTGAACTTCTGTCTCTTGCAACAAACAAGAAAAAGTATTTCCCAGGCAATTTTAAGGACTATTTTCCCCCAGAGAGGTAAGGGGAATGTGCTTTCATGAGAATGACTAAATCTTGGAGGAAGTCCAAAAGATCTAAAATAATAAAACTGAATATAAACTGACAGATTTCTATTGACTTAACAGCAGATTAAGATTTTACTGTTGTCTTACAGGAAAAACCCCTAACAAGTTATATTGGAATGATAACAAAATATAAATTCAGGAAGAAGCTACACAAATTCTCATAAAAAGCTATACAATGGGGCCCTCCCTGGTGGCGCGGCGGGTTAAAGCACAGCACTGGGAGGCTTAAGCCACTTCCGCATGAGTTCGATTCCTGCCTGCCCCGGAGGAAATCCACATGGCATGGCAGACCTCTCCTGGCCCGCCCACTGCTCCCCTCAGCAGTGTACTTTGTTGATCTGCCTGTTCTGCTCCCTGCTCTGTCTCTGGTGAATCCTCTCACCCTCCGCATCTCTCTGGCCTGTACCCCAGCTCTGTATGAATAAATAATAAAAAAAAAAACTATACAGTGTATTATATTTTTGAGGGTACTTTTCCTGAGCCTTTTCAATCAACAAGTCTAATTAGAATCAATCCTGAACATTAAATATGTAAACTTCTGCAAACATTGCAGAAGGATATAGAAGAAACATTTTGCCACTACAGCCTGACTGAAAAATAGATATATTGAGGTTTTCTGCTCAACTAAGACAATGATAATGAGCACTACTAGCCCATCTAGCAAAAAGGTGGAGAGAGACGTAGAAAATAGACATAGAAAAAGCCAGTTGTTTATAGTGAAACAACTGGTTCACAATACTATAATCTGGATGTGAGGTGACAATGCTCTTTAGTTTGTTGCTATGCAATAGTCCAGTTCCCTTCTGTACATTTATAATCATCATGTGGCTAAATTATGCTAAGTCACTTACCCAAACAAAAAGAGCAAAGGAGAATTACAAATATCTGCAGTTGACAATGATATCTATATATCAATGAATATATTCAAAATCACACAACACAAACAATAAAAAAGGCAGTACAGGTTGGTTGTAACAGATCAGATCAGTGTGTATATCCAGATAACATGGATACATATCTATGTATAGATATGTACATCAGTGTGTATAGATATCTACATATATCTATATATGTATATATATACTTACATCTTTACTCCTAATAAGTAGTTTAAATAATATGTCTATGATAGCTAAAGTGAAACAAAAGTCAAATCAATTCAATGAAGAAAGAAATGATACATGAAAACTTTAGTACTTAAGATACTCTTTCAGAATTATAGTAAATGACATCTCTGTAGTTTCCAAGAATATGCCCAAGCTAATTTTTAGGGCTGTTTTTCCTTATTTGGTATTTAATGACAGAGCGGTCAAAAAAGTAAACTGAACTAGTCACAGTGAGACATCAAACCAAGAAGCAAGGAAAAAGTCTTATACATGAGAACTAAAAAGTACTATCATGATTAGCTAATCTAGGCCTTAAAAGTTTTTAATGAACCATTTTTATATGGAATTTGAAAAACTTTACAACTGGTATAGATAAAATGCACTCTGCAAAGATTGAGGATTATTAACTAAACTATATTCCCAAAGAGTGAGTAATAATAAATAACAAAAAGTTATCAGAAGCTTCAAGGTACTGACCCATGTCCTGAAGGAGCAATGAAGTACAAACAGCACTGCACCCTGTTATCAGGCATCTGACGTCTGTTCACTCGAGATTCTGCATTTAGGTAGTCTTCAAATTTACTATCAATGTAGTCGATAACAGGCTGCCAACTACGAACAAAGATAAAAATAAAAAAGCTAAGTTGCAAATCTACATATAAAACTATGACTGGTAAGGGTAACTTTATTATTAAATAGACAAGCCAGTCTTAACCAATGGAAGATTTCTCAAATTATTCTACATATATTGATTCAAAATCAGGTGTGAGTTATACTGAATGTCTTCATTATTTCTAACCTTTCCAAATGAAAAAAATATTTTTAGAGTAAAAAAACAACTGAAGTATCATTATTTGCATAAATAAGTATATCTACACTAACACATTTTATAATGTGAAAATCATATCACTGGTACTTTTAAATAAAAACCAATTTTAAATATAAAAACCTTATGATGAAATTACTTAGGTATTTTAAAGGTTGAGAGAAACTTACTTCAAAACCAATGAGTTCAAGGAAAAGTTAAAATATTGCTTATAAGATAATAAAATAGTAAGATGCTATTTCTGACTATAATATCAAGGATATTTTCTTCACTTAAGACTTACCAAAAAACCGGTAGGTTCAAAATCAGGTTTAATACTTAAATTTCAGGTGAAAATTTATACAGTAAGAATTCTCTTAAGAATTATTGTTCCATACTTTGTCTTCAAAATATGATAGATGTTAACTTCAATTATAACTAATAGGAAATTAGAAGCAACATCATCATGTGGCAAATTTGGTATATGAATCCAAGTCACATCACTTTAAGTTCAATGATCTTTGCTAAGATGAAAAGTTTTAAAATGTTAAGCAGAGAAAAGTCTAATCACCCTCATAGCCCAAATACAATGGATAGCAATGATGATAAATACTTCTTACCAATTACTATTGTCCACTGCATCTCCAAATCCTGGGGTATCAACTATTGTGAGCAGCAACTGAACACCACCTTCTTTGATTAAAACTTTGGATTGTTCCACCTGTAAGAGTCATTGGTGCAGAGATTAACAGCTTATATCACACATATGCATGTTTCCTACAAGGGGTAAAAGGTAGGGATATGAGTGCTGGTCAAACTAATTGATAAGCTTTCTCCAAACTAAATCTAACCACTTTACCCTTCATTTTCTTTAGAATCAACTACTATAAATTTTTAAGTCCCAATAAATTGAAAGAAAAGCACAAATGTAAATTGTAAGCTCATTGCTCACAGTTGGCATGAAGAATTTGAGAAAGGGTTTTAAACTGAAACAATAACAACAATTCCTCTTACAATTTAAGACTTTCTATAACCTTAAAGCTCTGTATCAGAACATATTTATCATTCACCTTAAGTGTATGTTGCTGCTAGATAAAACGCTGTTTCAAACAGAAAATGTAAATTTCCCCAAGAGGCACCAACCAAGTATGCTGATAGGGTAACATAAGAAGCAAAATCATACTCAAAAGTTTGCATTCCAGAAGATGGTGCCAATGAAGTACTACCAGCTGGAAGGGGTAAATGTAACAATGGACAGGTGAAAAGCAACTTCAACTATTTTATGTTAACAAAATGTGGAAAGGTGAGTAACACCTTGGTGCACCTGTAGAGATTATAGAAATGATGATGTCTTTCTGTTTGCCTTGGGAATTTTATTTTTTAACAGCAAAGGCATGAAGACTGAGACTGAAAATTAAGTGAGAAAGTCTATAGCAGCACTGTCTAACAGAACTTTCTGGTATGAGCATCTGCAAATCCAATATGGTAGTCACTTGCCCATGTGATTATTTAGACATTGAAATGTGATTGTCATAACTGAGGAGATGAATGTTTATTTCCATTTAATCTGTATTAAATAGTCACATGTCATTAATGCTTACTAAAATGGACTATGCAGCTCTATAGCAATCAAAGGATTTTTGCTGTTGTTGTTGTTGAAAGCATATTATCAAAGAGAAAAATGTATTAAAATTGAGAGCATGGTGGCTCTCGCTTGTGGTGCAGTGGGTTAAAGCGCAGCACTAAGAAGCTAAAGCTACTTCAGCATAAGTTCGATCCCCACCCTGGAGGTGACCACATGATGCGGCAGACCTCTCCTGACCCACCCGCTGCTCCCCTCAGCAGTATACTTCGACGATCTGCCTGTTTTGCCCCCTACTCTGTCTCTGGTGAATCCTCTCACAGCCCCTGCACCTCTGGCCTGTACCCCAGTTCTATATGCACAAATAAATCTTTTTTAAAAAAAAAGGGGGGGCTTGAGCCAATCTGAAAATTCTGAGTATCAAAAATATACCAAATATAAACAATTTACACCTGAACATTATGTATTAATAAGCATTTATTTCTCTGTAGCTTAAAAAAGTAAACAACCGTAAACTAGGTTTTAATATTTTCTGGTTATCTTCAGCATCAATGATGGATGCACACTAACTCAGACACATCACATAGCTAAGAAAACAGATCATGTCTGATATCAGGTTATTCTTATAAGGTAGATAATTGAGGAAATCAGACTCATCAGTGTTAAGATTCTCAAAACTAAAAACAAATTAAATGATATTATTTCATATGACTTAGGAAGTTCACATTTCATTCTGTGATCTTTTAGTCAAGGGGCAATCTGGTTAAATGTCAATTATACCTCAATAAAGGTTTTAAAAGGGACAGGGAGAAATCTGGTCAATTCTAATGACTCAATTATCTTGACCCTACCGCCATCCTTTTCATAGTCATTTATATTAACTTTCAATGAAGTATAAACACCCAAAACAATCATACCACCACTTTATCTAATAATTCTTTTAAATGTCATATATTATGTATCAGAGACCGATGTAAAAATTGTTCCACATGAATCATTTCACAATATTACCCCATACTATTTTGGGATCACTTATTGCTACACAACTAATTTTACCTCCAGTAATAGGTTGTATACTAATGACATACCCCAACAGCTTAAATCTTAAGTTATTTGTTGCCTTATTAAAAAAAAAATCAATTTAACAACTTAAGTGCTTTTGGATATAAGACAAATTATGGTCTATGTTTTAAAACTTGTTCAACAAGTTGCTTCTCTTATCTGGCACAGGAAATTCTTTGTATCTATACATGGAGAAAGCAACATAGGGAAAATATCCAAAAAACTTAACTGTAAACTAGTGTCATTCACAGGATCCAACCATATCCTATCATCTGGCTTTACAAGTATCCTCATGGGATCCATAGAAAACAAATTAGTTCAAGTCCAAGAATTTCAAAGTTTTCTTAACAAATCTATTCCAAATGGCCACTTTCCCATGATCTTTACTAAAGCAGGTCATGTCAACATATTTTATAGCATCACTGAAGAGTTCACTAAGATTAAATGCGTAATTTAATATTGAAGGAACGAATCAATGACATTTTCAACTGGTTTCTGAAAACTAAAATTAAAGCCATATTATTGTTTATGTATAATTAATGTATTTAGGCCTCTTTGGAATCCCACATTTCATAAACTTTGCAAAACACTGTTTTTCAGTCTGAAAAAAAAAAGTGAAAACTTCAATGTTTATTAGTTTCATATCTTTCATTTTGAAAGAACTGTTTAACACACTAAGCTTTACTAAGCTAATTTTTAATACCTAATTGTTAAGGTAAATAAAATGTGTTACATTTTATTCTGGTGACAGGATTAAAATTCCCTGTCAAGAGTTTAGCTCTACCTACATTGGTGGGTACTCCACTGATCTCAAACATAAAAACTGTTTTGATTTACTGGCTCAAGAGACAATCTTAAATACTTCATCAAAGTCAGTGAGTTCTTATAGTCAACTCCATAGTAAAAGGCCTTAGAGCTTTCTGGACTCCAACCCCCTGACTTCCTGAGCAGGGACTGCTGAGAACTAAGAGTGAGTGGAGCCAACATTTTGATTTCTGAAAGATGGAGGTGTGAGTCTCTCTTTTTTTTTTTTTGGAGGGGGGGGGCTGACTTCCTATTGCATCTTGGATGCTATCTAGAGGTAGGATAGACAACATCTGGCCAGGTGTCAGTGAACACATTTTCTTCTCTCTCAGGTCTTCCTTCTTTGCTCACTCGATATGAAATCAAATCATTTTTCTTGTTTCTCTCTATATCTGTCTACAAGTCTTATACTTATTTTTCTAAGTACATGGGTGAGGACTCAAACCCACTTATGCCCTTTCCCACTGGGTTAATTCCATAACAATACCTTTCCTACTTCCAGTTATTTCCGAGTTCCACTCTCTCTCCCACCGTGTTCAACAAAGTACCTCATCTCTACTAGAAGATGAGAGCATCCCCATCTAGTTTGAAACAGCACGGAGTCTTCCCTCTTATTCAGAAGACTACAACATTTCTTCCTAAGGTTAATTTTTCAATTTATGTTGGAGATCTGATCACTTTCTATTTAAAAGAGCAACTGTACAGACAATTTCCTCCGTATTTTCAACTTGTCATCTCTTAGTGCCTGACTCCTCCATAGTATATAGTTTAAGGTCTTTTTGTGGAATAAATACCAAAACAATATCTCAGTCTCAATACTTTAAATATTTCCCCTTACTCCTTCCTTCATAGCTATACCACCTTCACTCACTGCCTCTGTTACCACTCATTTATTATCCTACTACCATTTGCCCTCTATTCCAACTATATCATTAGAATCTCTTGACAAAATATTTCTTTATAGCAGCACCTTTCTCATAAATCATAATTGATTGCTATAATCTTCACCTGACTGTGAGATCCTTAAGAACTCTGATTGTGCCCCATTACCACTATAGGTCCTAAACCGGTTTGAGGAAAACATTCAACTGTCTATTGTATCAATGACTGGTTCAAAAATTATTAAATATTAAAAATTAGTTCAAGGAGTCTATAACACATTATACCAGGAACCAGATTCACTGTTTTTACTTTTTCTTATCACCAACATTTTTTTTAAAGATTTATTTATTTATGCTTACAGAAATGGGGTACAGGCCAGAGGTGAGAGCATTCACCAGAGACCGAGCAAGGAACAAAACAGGCAGATCTACTGAAATAAATGCTGAGGGAAGCAGCAGGAGGGTCAGAAGAGGTCTGTCACAGCATGTGGATCAGCTCCCTGGATGGAACTTGTGCTGCAGTGGCTTCAGAGAGCTTCATAATGTGGTGCCTTAACCTATTGTGCCACCAGGAAGAGCCCTCATCATCAAAATTTTTTAACCTATTTAATCTACACAAGTGATTTACAGAACATCACGGACCAAGAAAATAAGTTTTAAAGTGACAGCACCTAAAAACTTAAAACAAAAAATTGAACACTCTTATTTCACAAAAAGAATTGAAATGGATTTGAATAAAAGACAGTGTTTCCCAAAAAGATAGCTGGCAACCTTTCACTGACAAAAATGCAATTTAAAAATTTTCAAATATAAAAAAGCTGTGAAAATGTTACTATACATGAATTAATATATGTAATATTTTCTTAAAATTTTTTTAATCCAGAGGTCTATATTTAAGACTGAAACATGAGGTAGAATGCAAGTATTCATTCTTTTTAACCCTTATTTTAATATCTATTGGAAAAAAGGTAAGTTTTCTGTTTCTCAAATATTCTGAAAGAACTAAGAAAAACAGTTCTTCTTCTTGTTTTGTCCCTAGAGAAAAAGAATGAAACCAGTTTGCAGCAAGCCAGAAACAATATAAAGTAACACCCAGACATGCAGCAGAAGTCTGAGAACTTACTAGAAATGCAAATTATCTGAATCCTGCCTTAAACCTACTAGACAGCAAACTCTGGGGAGAGGACTCGGCAATCTCTTTTAGAAAACCCTAAAAATGATGGTATTACATACTTAAATTTGCGGAACACTAGTACAAAGAACTCCAAAACACACATCAGTTCACATTTAGATCTGTGTAGCTAAGACCTAGGACAGGAAGTTAAGAATGAATCTTAGAGGACTTCTACCTAATACTGAAAATTTCACTAAATCAGAACCACTGAGATACAGGAAAGTTTACAAACATTTCTTTACTGCAATAGCTTCTACTTTCCAGACTATGAATGGAAACCAATTTCTTCATTAAGACCGAAGTCTCTTGTAAGTAAATAATGCTAATGAAGATTACAACACTGTGGTGTTTTTACTCCTCCCACCCCTGGATCACATAACAGGAGAAGAATTTTCTTCATTAACAGCTGGAAGTATTCAAGAAAGCCTTCAGGTTAGGGAAAATGCAGAAATTCGCCATTTGAAAATCAGGAGTGTATTTCTTCACTTTTATGTTTGGGCTGAGGTACAATACTTGTAACCACATAGAGAGTCTGTAACCACTTGTAATCCACATAGAGAGTCTGTGAGCATCCAAGAGCAGATCATCTGCTACATTACTGAGCCTCCTGAATAGCTAGCCAACTATTAAAGATAAATACATTCAGTTCTGTACCACACTGAGTAAATCTAATTCTGTCCATAATGTGCTATGTCATCTTGTAGATAAGTACAGAAAAGAGTTTAGATTTAGGTTGTTCCTCACTGTTCCTTTACAGTGTGAGACTAAGAAGCACATAAATAGATTTTCAGAGAGCAGGAAAATTCCTGTTCAACTTAGTTCTAGTCTATCAAAGAATACCTCCATGTAAGTATGAAGAAAGAAATTCTGTGGGACTCACAGGGTCAATCTAATTCTCAGAAGTTAAAGGTATTACTTTTGGTACAAAGGTCTTTCTTTGGCTTAAAAATCTTACTAAGGAGTTATGACTGAAAGACTTAAATTACTCCTTTGTTCTTAAGGTAGGGGAAGTCAAAAGACATTTACAATGGAAGAAGACACTTTTGAAATGTAAAAGGTAAAGTGAATTTAGACAGGATCATCTTGCAGCTAGGCCAATGTAAAAAGAATTATAACAAATTGAGAACCTCTCACATCTTTAACAAAAAATAGCCTGGAAGACATCTGCAATAACTAAATATAAGGAACTATTAACCTAGATAAGGAAATCCTCCAAATTAACAGGAAAAACTAGGAAACATTAACAAGGTAAAAACATTTTAATGGAATCTGAAGAGTAAATGAATATGTTCAAATTCATAAAAAAATTCAAAGAGGGCCCTCCCCAGTGCCACAGTGGGTTAAAGCACAGCACTGAGAAGCTAAAGCCACTTCAGCATGAGTTCGATTCCCGCCTGCCCCGGAGGTGACCACATGACGTGGCAGACCTCTCCTGACCTGCCCACTGCTCCCCTCAGCAGTGTACTTAAGTCAGTCTGCCTATTCTGCTCTCCCCTCTCTCTCTGGTGAATCCTCTCACTGCCCTGCACCTCTGGCCTGTACCCCAGTTCTGTATGCATAAATTAAAAAATCTTAAAAAAAAAAATTCAAAGAAAATAAACTGAAAGCACAAAATACTGCCTATATGATGGTGGGTCCAACAGGTTACACCCTATAGTCTAGGTATGTAATAGGTTATATCATCTAAGTTTGATAATTATGTTCTATGAAGTTCACACGATGACAAAAAAAAAATACTGCCTAATAACACATTTCTCAGGATATATTCCCATTTTTATGGAACACATGAATATTTCACTCTATATTCATATAGTAGAATACTAATAGCAATGAAAAGGAAATGCAACTGCATAACATATACAAACACCATGGGTAACCTTTACTGAAAGAAATCAGTCATAAAAGTGTATCTAAATGAAACTGTATAGTAAAATTAGTATTTGGAGAGAGATGTCAAAAAGGAATTTATCTTTGCAGGTGGTTATAACACTGAGAGAAAGGAGGCACAAGGAATCTTCTGGGTTGCTGAAATATACTTTCTCTAAATCTGTGAATATATATGCAAAAAGTTCATCATACTCTGTTTGAATTTGTGTCCTTTCATTATACAATCTATAGAGTAACTAAAAATTAAATTTAGTAAAATGCTCAAGAAAAATTAAAATAACCAACTAAACATCAAAAATGATTATTAAATTTAAATATTATTTAAAGTCACTTCACTTAAAACCCCAAAATATCCTTAAAATCTAATATATCCCAGCTAATAAACTAACTCTTCCAATTTTTTAATTGCTTTCAAATAGGAAGCCATATTGCTTAGTTTTCTAAATGAGAGATGGTGGCCAAGGATCAAATCAAGGAGTCTAGAAGCTACTATAATCCAGGACAAAGAAAGATGGTGTCCTGGATATAAGTGGCATTAGGTAAGTGATACATAACTAGATATACTGTGATAGCGGAGGTAATGAAATTTGCTGGTGGGCTACATGTGGAGTAAGAGATAAAGTATGTAAGTATAGCTCCAAATTTTTCTGAGTAACTGGAAAGATGGAGCTACCATTCAGATAGGAAAAACTCAGGAAGGGACACTGGCTTGGGGGTAAGCACACCACAATGGTCTATCAATATTTGGTAAATTTGTCTGTTCGGCAAATTTACTTTTGGATTTGATAGAGATTAAGTTTTGTTAAATGGATCTAGAACCAATTCTTAACATGAATCTTAATCCTTATAGTTAGTTTGTTCTTTCCTACTATAATTCTTTACTGAAAGGCATTTTAAATTATAAAGCATGAAAATGAGTATAGTAAAAAGGAAAAATATTCAGTCTCACAATTTAGAGAATCAGTGATGGCAACTGGATATGGATAAAAGATATACTTTATATGACTAAAGACATGTAATGACTAAACTGCATGTGTAGCTTGATATAAAAGAATTTCTGCCCAGAATTTTTAAGTGATTCTTCCATCTTGTGCACTGGTAGAATTAGTACAAAACCTTTAAATTCAGCTCTAGCATCACTGTCTCAGTAAAATCAATTCTAACCAGAACTACTAAGTCATCTATTCACTGTATGTGTGCTATGTATTATGGCATCCAACAATTCTTTACAATTAAGAGTTTATTTAGAGCAGTGCTGCCTGACAAAAACACAATGTAAACCACATAAGTAAATCTGAAATTTTTCAGTGCCACACTGAAACGTTGTATCAGATAAAATTAACTTATTTTATTTAACTCAACATAACCAAAAAATCACTATAGAAGGTAATCAATTCAAAAAAGCTATTAGTGAGATATGTCACTTAAAAAAAAAAAAAACCCTAGTAAGTTTTAAAAATCTTTGGTGTATTTTATATTTGCATAACATCTCAATTTGGACTACCCCCAATTTTTTTTTTTAAAAGATTTATTTATTTGTGCATACAGAGCTGGGGTACAGGCCAGAGGCTCAGGGGCGGTGAGAGGCTTCACCAGAGACAGAGTGGGGAGCAAAACAGGCAGGATCTACGAAGTACACAGCTGAAGGGAGCAGCGGGCGGGTCAGGAGAGGTCTGCCACGCCATGTGGTCACCTCTGGGGCAGGTGGGAATCGAACTCATGTGGAAGTGGCCTTAGCTTCTTAGTGCTGTGCTTTAACCCACTGTGTCACCAGGGAGGGCCATTGGACTACCCAATTTTTTTAAAAGTTTAACAGCCATGTCTGGCTACTATATTGGACAATGCATATCTAGAGGGCAGGGTCTATCTAGCATTTTACAATATAAAGTGTGATTATCCATGAGTCAGTAGCAATGGCATCATGTAGGATAATGTTAAAAATGTGAAATCAGTCCTAAAGGAACAAAAACTAAATTTGTCAAGATACCCTAATAATCTGAATGTAACCTGAAGATCAAGAAGCACTGAATTAGACCCCAACATAATTTGGGAGGCTTAACAAACTGTTACCGACATTCAGCGATATCATGTGTTGTATGCCACTAATAGAGAACACTATATTTAAATAAATAATGCTTTTCTGCATATCATGTTTCTCTGTCTAACAGAACTTTCTGCAATGGTAGAAATATATCAGTGCTACCCAAAATGATAATGACATGACACACAAGACAACAGAGCATTTGTAACAGTTTAATCAATAATGTGAATTTTTAATTTTTATTTCTAATTCATTCAAACTTAAAACAGCCACATAAGTGTTAGTCACTATCATAATAGATGTCATAATTTTATGGGTATGATTTACTAACTACATCATAACATAATCACTAGAAGGTTCCTGAGCACAAACTTAGAAAATTCTAGTAACTTATCTATGCTTATCTCTTTTTTTAATTTTATCAACAATAATGTTTACCGCTCTATATTTACTTGTGAAAATTTCAAGCCTAGTTCAAGGCAAACACAATAAATTAAAGCATATGTTTAACATGTGTTAACATTACTTTACCTTATCAATTAACATAATATACATACCTGTACAGTCTTTTTTATTCTATGGGAAGGACCTGGATACTCTGGAGAATACAAATCTGTGAGGAATAATGAGTTGATTAATGTTGACTTTCCCAGTCCAGATTCACCTGAAAGAAAATAAGGGCAGGAGAGATCTGTTAAACGCACCATTTTATTGACCTTAAATATTCACACAATGCTATAATCAAACTTGTCTCAAGGAAGTTTTTCATGATAGGAAATACAATATGAAGAAATCACTTCTTTTAAAACTTAGTTCTATTAGAATATGTTCCTCATGTTCTTATCAAATTAGACTCATATTACAAAGAGTTTTTTTTGAGCTTTATAACTCTACATTCTTTAAAAATAGTATCTGGAATGGTGGGAAAATAAATTAATATATTAAATTTTTAAAAATAAAGTAATATATCTGATAATATAGTAACATATTACTAGAGACCAAAGTTAAATTATGTATTGCTGTTTCAGTAAAATAAAATGTAAAATAAATAAGCCCTTTTACAACACATAATGACAAAGCAATAAATACATCATGCAGCTATAAAATGTAGAAATCTGCTGACACAAAGAAAAATTGATCACAATGTATTTTAATATAAAGCTGAGCCACAAAAACAAACAAAAACCCTAACAGTTTATTCACCCACACACCAATCACAGAAGGGTACCTCCTCATAAATCAGATGCCAAAAAAAATCACAGCTATTTTTTACAGTACTCTGCTAAGGAAGCTAAGACACAGTTTCTGACATCAGGTATTCTTCTTTTACTCTCCATGCTGAAATCTAGTATACCATAACTAACATATTTTTTACCAAAATATAAACAGTCCTAATGCATATATATATACAAGGTTAAAGTAAATTACAAATTATGCCAATTAATATGGTGCACAGTTAAACAATTTAATTATTAATAATTAAGCTAGTTTAATAGGCATCTTCCATCCAAACAGCTAATGTTAAAATATTAACCTTAATATTTCTGTTAGTCTGAGTTGTTTTTATATTGATTTTCAAGAAAGGTAAGGTCTGCTTCAGATAATATATCCTACTCCCTTTGAACGGGAGGCTACCAATTTTTCTAGATGTAAAAACGCCAGAAATTTCTAAGTCTCATGAAAATAAGTTATAGGTCCTCCATCCTTTCTCCTGCTTTAACTTTATACCTTCAAAACTAGAATAAAGTCAAAACATATGGGAATAATCAGAAGAATCTTTAATATTTTCACTTAAATGCTTCAGTGCAAAATTTGAATACTTATGAAACTTTTTTGAGTGTAAAAGTATAATCATATTCAAAAATTAACACTATCCTAACAAACCTAAGTTTATACCTTATTCGATAATTTATCTCCGTGTGTGTGTGGTGGTGAGAGGTGGTAGAGGAAGAATAAACAGGACATGAGTTTTGTGGTGAAAAAAAGAATTCTGAAAAGCAACCCATGAAAACGTTAATAATGCCTAGCACGGAACAGAGAAAAGCGTAGTTAAGTTTTTTTCCCTAGATTTTCACATTCCTGTCTGCTGTAAGTTTCTTTCACTAAGCTTGTATTATTGTCATTAATTTAAAAAGCATTCTTAAGGCTTATTAGTAAATGACAGAGCCCCTCCTTCTTTTATAGCTATGCATTTTCAGGGATTAGAATTAGTCTGTAGATGACCATTTTGTACTGAATGAATGAACAGGAACTCTAAACTGCAGTGCTTGCTCTCAAAAATCTTAAGTATGCTACAGGCAAGAGATACAAATAACCATTAACACAAGGCATAATATGGTCAGGATTATGAGTGAGCTATCCAAGAGCATCAATATTTCAAAGAACTGAGAAATCACACCAGCCTGGAAAGACCAAATTTCAATGACACTTTGAAAACATATCCAGATATATTCTGAAGATTTTTCCTAAAATGATTTGAAAGGTAGATGAAATTAAGAAACTGGTAAATACAAAAAGAGATAGGGCAAATGACAGATTACACCAACATTTCAAGATGACCAGTAGGGAAGTATCCTAAACAAACAGATAAACCAGGAGGCAGTATCATAAAAAAAGAATGAGAAAGAATTTCAAGGTAAAAACTGATAAACAATATCAAATAACAGGTTATAAAAAGGTGACCAAGGGACTAGATAGCATTTTACTGACCTTTAATAAAGGTGGTTCACATTAAGAAGTCAAATGGTGATGAGTTATGTAATGAATGGGTGGGAAATTAAAAAGTGCAGAGTTAGTCTTTCCTTACATCTTGGTTATAAAATGAAAAGAAGATACCATTCAGGAAGTAAAGATATGTTATGAAGGGAGGGTGCTATTCTGTTTCAATTTTGAATGTGTTTCTCTCTGAAATTGTTATCTATCAACAACCCTATAGATTATAGGTTACTTGCAAGGTATATTCCATACATGTAACCTGGGATTTGCTATAACACTATTTCAACCTCCTCAAAATCTAATAAGGTCCTTTGACATACAGGCAGATATGCATACATGCTAACCCTAAAATACAAGCTAAACAGGTTCAGCAATTATCTAAACAAGGTTTGCTTATTTTAATTATAGTAATTAACCACCCGCACTAAGTAGTTAAGTAACAATTCTGAGCAGCTAATAGCAAACATTCCAAGGAACCACTCAATAATTATCTCATTTACCAAGTCAAAAAGCTTTCACTTGCTATTTATGTAAAGCTGGGAGGCTATAGCAAAGAAATGCCCAGTTCAAGTAGTTAACTACATTTTTTTTCCTTTTAATTCTCAGGTTACAAGAAAAACCAAAAAGCCTGCTTGCAATTTATTTTCTCATGACTAATTATTCAAAAAAAAAATTGCATTACCAAATTTTGTATTTAAAACATCTTGTTTTGGCTAGTGCCTGCAACTGTTCCTAAATTGTACATCAAATTTCTGTAAGTTCTTCAAAATTGAAACAGTGCTGAAATTAAGTTAGTGTTTATCCCAATATTTCCTTTAAATTATTGCAAAATATTTTGTGGAAGTATCAGAGTGGATGATGGCCCAATGAAACTTAGAGGTCAAGGCGGTATAAGGCCTTGAGTAAGTAAAAGAGAAATTAAGAAATTAACACATTCAATTTTGAATGTGTTTCTCTCTGAAATTGTTATCTATCAACAACCCTATAGATTATAGGTTACTTGCAAGGTATATTCCATACATGTAACCTGGGATTTGCTATAACACTATTTCAACCTCCTCAAAATCTAATAAGGTCCTTTGACATACAGGCAGATATGCATACATGCTAACCCTAAAATACAAGCTAAACAGGCGGTGTAAGTAAGGAGTAAGTAAAAGAGAAATTAACAGGAGGACCATGCCAAGAGACTGTTTTATTCAAATGCCTAGTGCACAGAATAGAGAAGGCAAGGTTTTATTTAACTTATTTTGAAGCAGGGAGCAGCACATTGTAGAAGATGGTGCTTTCAAAGTCAAGTAAGCAGACTACTTGGACTAGGTGGTTTACAGAATCTTACAAGTTCTAGAAATTTAAAATTTAACACAAAGGAACAGCGGTGTGGTTGTATAATTTGTCCTGGTGACTATATGTATCTGTCCCATGATTAAAAAAACATGAGTATATAGTCCTAACATTCACAATGCATAAAACAAAAAAGAAAAGTTGTCATTAGTTGTATGGACTTGTTTAAAGGCTAGCAAAAAATATTTAAATCAGAAATGTGGAACCTCTAATATTAAGTTAGCAACAACATTTCTGTTAATATGGCATTTTAAGTAGGTTTCTACTCAACAATGTCAAGGGTAAGATAAACAAGAGCATTTACACATCTGTGGTAACTGTATAAACTAGTATAACATTTTCAGTTTACACTTTCACCACAGTCTTCTGCTTTTGGGAATTAAATACGAGAGAAAAGCATTGCGATATTACTTTTAACATTTACTGAATAGGTTGTTGGGGGTAACCTTGCAGGTACTACAGTGGAGATAGACTAAATATACTATGATATACCCATGAGAATAATATTAATCACTGAAAATTAGCTTTTTAAAAAACATTTCACAGCTCTCCCTGGTGACACAGGGGGTTAAAGCACAGCACTAAGAAGCTAAAGTAACTTCAGCATGAGGTTCAATCCCCGCCCGCTAGGGAGGAGATCCATATGGTGCAGCAGACCTCTGCTGACCGTCCTGCTGCTCCCCTCAGCAGTGTACTTCTTGGATCTGCCTGTCCTGCTTCCCACTCTGTCTCTGGTGAATCCTCTGACCACCTCTGTACCTCTGGCCTGTGCCCCAGTTCTGTATGCATAAATAAATAAATCTTAAAAAAATTTCACATAGGTTAAAAATGTTTCTCCTGGCACTAGTGAAAATATGTAAAACTGAATGTGGTATTATAGCTATTTGTGAAACACAGAAAACAAAAAAATATTTATACAATGGAAGTATCTTTTTATTGACAAAAAAAAAACCCTGTATTGTTTCTTTATAACAGTTAATGGAAGCTATTTTGTAACAAAAAGATCTTATAGGAAGACTATCTTTAAATTATCTTAATTATCTTTGTTATATCATAAATATATTAACAAAAGTATAACATTTCAAAAACTATTTCACTGATTCCTTTGTCTGAACATCAAAGCATAGAACTTTAGAATGGAAAAAGTAAATTCTAATCAAAATGGAGAATCCTACATTGCCAGGAATGAGCATCTTTAAGAGTGAGACTAGTCAGGGCCCTCCCTGATGGCTCAGCGGGTTAAGAAGCTTAAGCCACCTCCACATGAGTTCGATTCGCATGAGTTTGATTCGTATGAGTTCGATTCCCACCTGCCCCGGAGGTGACCACATGGCGTGGCAGAACTCTCCTGACCCGCCCGCTGCTCCCCTCAGCAGTGTACTTCATTGATCTGACTGTTCTGCTCCCCACTATGTCTCTGGTGAATTCTCTTAGCCTCCACATCTCTGGCCTGTACCCCAGTTCTGTATGAATAAAAAAAAAGTGAGACTAGTCAATTTTGATTAAAGGTGTCAAGGAACGCCCACTTATCTTAACTAATCTTAATTATTGAGTATTCTATTTATACAATTATTATTAAATAAATTATTTAATTAATTAACTTAA